AATTCATCCAGTAAAATTCCTCTTTTTATTTATTCCCATTAGTATTTTTTGTGCTGCATTTGAATTTCCTTATATTTTTATTATTCAAGTTTGAAGTTGTTTGTCTACTCCACCATATCTATTTTTCTTGGTGTTTATTTTTTTTAAGATTTATTTATTTATGCATACAAGATCTGGGTTACAGGCCAGAGGTGTGGGGGGTGGTGGTGAGAGGATTCACCAGAGACAGAGTGGGGAACAAAACAGGCAGATCTACCAAAGTACACTGCTGAGGGGAGCAGTGGGTGAGTCAGGAGAGGTCTGCTGTGCTAATGTGGGTTGCTCTCTGGCCAGCCGGGGAGTGAACTTTGCTGCAGAGAGTGCGGACAGCTTCACAGGCTGCGTCTTTTTTTTTTTTTTTTTACGTTTTATAACTGATTCTTTAATATATTATTAAATATTGGAGACATACAAAATAGAACAAAACAGAAGATAACAACTGTGAAGTACCACCCATCTTAATAAGTAAACTATATCTTTTTTAATTTTATATATTTTTTACATCATTTTTCATTTTTGCACAATGTATGCATTTTCATTTTGGTTATAGTTCCCACACAAGTCCCACCCACCCTTATTTTGACCCTCCTCCCTCCTCCCCCTGTCCTGTAGTGTGTCTCTGGTTTATAGTTGCTTGTTGATTTTGATTTTTACTTTATTATAATTAGTCTTTTTCCTGGTCCCTTACTTAGGTTTTCTAAATTCCTGCTATGAGTGAGACCATCCGGTATTTTTCTTTTTCTTTCTGGCTTCCTTTGCTGAGCATGATCCCTTCCAGCTCCATCCACGTTGCTGCAAAGTGCATGAGTTTATCTTTTTTGATTGCTGAGTAATATTCCATTGTGTATATGTACCACATCTTCTTGATCCAGTCATCTATTTTTGGGCATTTGGGTTGTTTCCAAAGCTTAGCTATTGTAAACAGTGCTGCTATAACATAGGAGTGCAGGTGCTCTTTGGAATTGATGTTTCTGTGTCCTTTGGGTAAATACCTAGGAGTGGAATTGCTGGATCATATGGAAGCTCTATGTGTAGTAGGTCCAGAAATCTGTGTGGAGATTTCTTGACCTACTAAACATAGAGCTTCCATATGATCCAGCAATTCCACTCCTAGGGATTTACCCAAAGGACACAGAAACATCAATTCCAAAGAGCACCTGCACCCCTATGTTTATAGCAGCACTGTTTACAATAGCTAAGCTTTGGAAACAGCCCAAATGCCCAAAAATAGATGACTGGATCAAGAAGATGTGGTACATATATACCATGGAATATTACTCAGCATTCAAAAAAGATAAACACATGCAATTTGCAGCAACATGGATGGCACTGGAAGGGATCATGCTCAGCGAAATAAGCCAAAAAGAAAAAGAAAAATACCGGATGGTCTCACTCATAGCAGGAATCTAGAAAACTTAAATAAGGGACCAGGAAAATGAATATAAGAAAGTGAAAATCAAAATCAACAAAAAACTATGAACCAGAGACACTTTTTGGGGGGTGGGGGGCGGGAGGGGAAGGATTGGGGTCAGAATGGGGCGTTTGCAATTGTATGGGGGAATATAAAAATAAAATTTAATATTTAAAAAAAAAAAAAAAAAAAAAAGAAATCTCCACACAGCTCTCCATAGTGATTGGACCAGTTTGCACTCCCACCAGCAGTGCAGGAGAGTTCCTTTTTCTCCACACCCTCGCCAACATTTGTTGTTGCTAGTTTTTTTTTAATATGTGCCATTCTCACTGGTGTAAGATGGTATCTCATTGTAGTTTTGATTTGCATTTCCCTGATTACAAGTGATGTTGAACATTTTTCATATGCCTGTGGGCCATTGGCATTTCCTCTTCAGAGAAGTTTCTTTTTAGCTCTTCTGCCCATTTTTTGACTGGATTATTTTCTTTGTTTTTTTTGAGTGTCATCAGCTCTTTGTAGATTTTTGTGATCAGTCCTTTATCATTAGTGTTGTGTGCAAAAATGTTCTCCCAGTCGGTGGGGTTTCTCTTTGTTTTTGTTATTGTCTCTTTTGCTGTGCAGAAGCTCTTTAATTTGATGTAGTCCCAGCTGTTTATCTTTGCCTTCACTATCACTGCTGGGTGATGTGTCTGTAAAGATGTCTTTGATGTGCATGTCATGTAGTATTTTGCCTGTATTTCCTTCTATGTATTTTATGGTTTCTTAATCCCTTGCACCACCAGGGAGGCCCTGCTTGGTTTTATTATATTGCACCATCTTCTTTTCAACTACTAAGGATTATCAAGGGTTATGATAAGCACTGGCAGTTTCCTAGGTTATCATGGGTTATGGGAAGCAGTTTCTTAAGTGATGGAGGGAGATGGAAGGAGGTAGTTTCTTTAGTTCATGAGGGTCCATGTGTGCACCAAAGAGGTGCTGTGCTTTCCAATCTCCTTACTTTCTCCTACATTCAGGAACAGAGTTCATCTTGGAATTTTTAGGGACCAGAGGGATCAAATACTCTTGTTATTGTTGGTCAGTGAGCAAGGAATGGTTTTTATGTTTGTTTTTTATTTCTAAGGGGTTATGCACATATATTCCCTTATATATATATTGCATATATTATGTGTGCATATGGCAGATACTTGTCTAACTCCAGGAGTTCCATAGACTCCTGTGGGCTAGATCCTTCCTAGGATGGACTGTGTCTGATCTCCACCTGGAAGCATTCTTCAACCTATCTTGGGACTCTCCACCTAGTGCATGGTGGGAGATATTTCAATTCCAGATAACCTTCTGGGAAATCCAGAGCTACCAACCTCATTTCCACCCTGCTGCTGTGGGCCCTAGCAGACTTTTGGTTCAATGAGGCAGATATATTATAGGGGAGGAAGTAGAGGGGAACTGACATATACATAGGTGACCACTTCTATTTCTTTAGCAGAAAACTATAGCCTAGATGTGTGTCAAACCCAGTCTTCAGCCTGTTCTTGTTGGTCAATTAGGAATGGTTTTTATGTTTCTTTTTTTATTTCTATGGGGATATGCACATATATACTTTCATATATACATTGCATATATTATTTGTGAATTGAGTGATATCAATCCATCAATCAACTTTCCATGCATCCATCCACACATTCACACATCTATCTATCTATTGATTGATTGATCGATAGATCGATCTATCTTTCTATCTATCTATCTGTCTATGCAAACTAATATATGACTGAAAAATTCTCGTTTTTTTATTGGATTCTGTAGAGAAAAAGTTTTCTGATCCTTCTTTAACAATTTTAATGCTACTTGGGATGACCCATGGGGGAAGATGTGGGAATTGTGGAAGACTTAGAAAAAAGAGGAGATAACCATTGGAGAAAGGTCCCCAGAGATGTAGGAGCAGATAACATCCAAAATGCAGAGGGAGGTGTTAGTTTTAAATCAGAGCAAGGGCCTTTCTGCTGTTGTGGAAGAATGGAGAAGGGGCCTGGATGAAGGAAGTTGGCAAGGATGGACATGTATGCAGATATTTTCATAAAGGATGTCAGAAAGTTGAAGGAGTTTTCATTAGTTGGTGTTTATTGTCTCTGTGACATGGGAGACAAAGTTCTCTGCCTAATATGAAGGGACATGTGAAGAGAATTGAGGAAGGAAGTGAAAAACTGAAACTCTCCTTGTGGGGAAGTTGAGTTGGACAGGAAGAGTGAGTTCTATGTAGCATGGAGAATGTCTAGATCAGATTCCAAGTTGAGTGATTCTGGGGTCTCCCTGCCTGATGGAGGAATAGAAAATTCATATGGTTGTGTCATAAAGAAGGATGTTTTGATGCTTTGGGATGCAAATAACAGATTATTCCACCCAAACTGACTTAACAAAAGGAGTTTATTTGCCTTAGGTTCATTGAACAACTCAGATTGTCCCAGATTATTTTCAGCTTTCCACTCTTTCATCCTTAGTATTTCCTTGGCATTTTCTCTCCAAGCATCATATTTTTGTACTATAACAATAAAAATCAGAAAATAATGGGCAGATTCTCCATGAATGTGTCTTTGTTTATATTAAGAAGAAAAACTATTTTCCAGTAACTGTTTCTTATATTTCATTGGATGAAATTGATACAGATGGGCATCCTAAATCAATCTCTACCAATGGAATATGATCACTTATGGTTAGTTTAGATTTGAGTTTCTCCTTACCATTTGGGGATGGATAATTCTTTGGGGTGTGTGAGTGTGTGTGTGTGTATGGGGGGTGTCTTGTGCATTGTAGAATGTTTAGGAGCACCCCTGGCCTCTACCACTTAGACACCAGTAGCATCCTCCCTTGTCCTAGTCATGACAAACAAAAATGTTTCCCAGGCACTGCCAAATGTCCGTGGAGGTCGGGGGAGGAAATCACTTTAGATCAATCTAAAGTGACCCCTGGTACCCAGGCACATTTCTGTCCCAAATCTGAAAATAATTAAGATTTTGTTATTGAAGAACATGTTGTGATGGTATAGGTGAGTTCTGGATTGAGGTTTTCATAGGTAGGTATGGAATCAGACCGAGGATGCAAAGGTGTTGAACATATGGGGAAAATCATTTGGCATGGTTGATCAGGAGGTTTCTCCTTGATAAGAAAGAAGGTAAAATCAGTGGTTTGAGAAAAGTTGGTGGTTTGGGAAAAGTAGATGAGTGAAAAGAACAAGTTTAGAATGAGTGAGAGTAAGGACTTGAAAAGCGTTGAAAAATAATCTCATTTGCAAAAATTCAAGGGTGTGTTTACAAGGTCTGGATTTGTGTATCCAGGGACAAGCATTGACTGAACATATCATAGTGAAGAGAAATGCAATTCAACACACAAATAATGAGAGCACATTGTACAGCAAAAATCACTGCGAAGTAAAGGTTAAACTTTTCCTCTGCAAGGATGACATGTACAGTGAGTCCCCTTGTTCTCAACTTTATTCTTTATGATGTCAAATGGATCCATGGGTATGACTTTCCATGTATAGTTGAATGTTTTCATTTTAATGTTTTCTCTTTACTTGTCCTGGAAAAACAACCCCCCATATGTTTAGATAAAAGGTAGATGCAAAGATAAAACAAAACCAACCAACTAGCCAACAACCACCACCAAAAGAGCAGGAGTGGATTAAAGCCAGAGGGCTCTATCCAGCAGGGAAGGATGGCACAATAGCCCAGCATTTTGGGAGCCTAGGGCAGGTATGACCTTCTTTAGCTTATAGTGGGAAGGCGTCTCAAAAATCCAGGATAAAGAATTACTTTTTTTCTGAAAAAATTTCAATGTAGTATCCTACTCTGAATAGTATCCTATTCAGCCCCCTGTAAGTTGATTTCTGTTTATGAAGAAAGTCCCTGAAGGTAGGGACTACTTTAGTCTCATTCATTTTTGTATGTTCATTGCTTACCATCAAGTCTGAAACATTGTAGAACTCAACTAATACTGTCATTGCTAACCACAAGTTATACCTTAACTTACAAGCCCCAAGCTCCTCAGGGTAACCTATATCTGCTGTCACCATCCTGGCCCATTTATAAGAGTATATGTAGGAAGTCCAAAGCTATGTCTTTTTTCTTAATATTTATGTTTCACTCACAAAACACCTTGCCTAGTCATAACTTTTTCTATAAACAATATTGCCCAGTATCACAACTGACCTTTCAAGGTTATCACATTTCTAGGGAACAGAGCTAGAAAGTTATCTGAATGGAAGAACAGATGCATACCAGAAACAATAAATTTCTATAGCGATTCCCTTTCTAACAGGACCACTTCTTTCAAGCAGGTCTTATTATTCTGTGTACTCCTCTCCTTGATCACATAGAACAGCTGGGGTGGATTCCTCTCCTGGATCCCTTTCCATGGTGTTCACTAACTCTATTGGATTCACTTTCACTTCTCTGTGGGATAGTAGGGTTTCAGGAGATGAAAACTGCTTTGCTATGTCTGTGATTGTATGTCTCCTCCCAGGTGCTTTTACTTTATGGCAGTAATCCTGGTGCTGTTTTACCCATACTTCTTTGCATAAGAGACATAAAAAAGTCTGAGTAAGCACTTTCAGTGAGCAGGGAAGAATAAATGAGTAATACAAGCTAGCTAATTAGGAAAAGAATTCTTTTTCATGCATTCTAGGAAAGGAAGCTTATACTAAAACAAGGGGAGGAAATTCAGGGTGTCAAGGGGCAAAACATTAGAATGAATCATAAGGTCTCTTACCTCAGGTTTTGAATCAGAGCCAAACCTGCTGGAAAGTGTATAACTTTCAGACTCAGATTTAGGTTTTATGATCTCTCTAAACCACTTTTGGACCTGGAACATCAAAAGACAAACCAGGATGGTTTTGTTAACATTACTGAAAAGAAAATAATAAAGAAGATCGAGACATTATGAAAAAAATTCCTATAAAATATGGTACATACCCACAATGAAATGTCATTCAGCTTTAAAAGGAATGAAATTTAGACATGCACCACAACATGGATGAACCTTAAGACATTGTGCTAAGTGAAGTAGCCAGTCACAAAAAGAACAAGTATTGTATTATTTCATATAGATGAGATCCCTATAGCTTGGTGGGGACAACTGGGTATTATTGTTTAATGGGTACAGGGTTTCAGTTTGGGATAATGAAAAGTTCTGGAGAAGGAAGGTGATGATGGCTTAATGGTGTAGATATGATTAATGCTACAGACATACACAATTAGACATGGATTTTATATTTAAAAAATTGATGTGACATTGTATTAATGTTATATAAGCTTCAGGTGTGCATCATTAAAAATCAACATGTGTATATATTACATTAGGTTCACCAACGAAAGTCCAATTCTATTCTTTATATAATTGATCCCTTTTACCTGACTTACTCATCCTTCCCTCTTTCCTCTGGTCATTAACTGGTCTTGTAATGTCAAAGTTTATTCTATTTGTTTGGTTTTCTATATGCCACATATAAGTGATATCATATGGTATTTGTCTTCACTCACCATACGTGACCATAATACCCTTTAGGTGCATCTGTTTGCAAATTTTAGGATTTCATCTTAACTGGTAAATTTTATATTACATTTTTTTTACCACAATTAATTGTTCATATTATAGAATATATCTCTGTTGTAGGAAATTTATGAAATATGAATATGTAAAGAGGTAAATAGAAGTCAGATATAATTCTTCAACCTAGTGAAAAATCATGCTTATATTTTGGTGGTATGTTACTATGTGTCTTGGATCTCCTAGAAACAGGCTCTGAGAAAAAGGTTAATGAGTTTATTTGAGGAGTGATCCCAGACACCAGTAGATCAGTGGGGAAATGAGACAGGGGAAGAAAGGTAGCCAGTAAAGTGTACACTGTCCTTTCCATTGTATTTCTACCATGAGCTCATTTCCAGTAGTGGGCCCTGGGACACAGCATAGGGCACATCTTAGGGTCACCTTGTCTGAGAGACATGGAGCTGGGGCATTATCCATCAGCTCCCATAAATCCCTGACTGATAGCTGCTCTCAGGGGCTAGAATTTTCTGGACCCAAGCTTGCCTGTGCATGGGCCAGGCAGGCTCAGTGGGCAGGCAGAAGCCAACAGTCTCAGTCACAGGTGTTTGCAGTAAACAATCTTGGGCATGCAGAAATGAATGCCAAATGATTTGTAAGAGTGATTAACAGCATGTGCTACACCAAGATTTCCCAACTGTGGCTCTATTGACATTTTGGGTTGGTTCATGTTTTGTGGTGGTGACTGACCTGTCCACTATGGGATGTATAGCAGCATCCTTAACCTATACCCACCAGATGCCAGTAGCATTCCTCCCAAAGTTGGGACAATCAAAAATGTTCCCGAACATTGCTGAGTGTCCCTCTCTGGAGGGACTGTGTGAGAAACAGTGTGCCTTATCTTATATACTATAACACTAACATAAACAAAGAATGTTTATATATACCATATACAGAAAATGGAGACTTTCTGGAGTAAAGTTTGGACACTTGCCTTTTTACTGATATATTTTGAATATCTTTCCAGTCATCAAATATTCTTGGACAAAAATTAACATTTGAACATTCCACCTCTATCCTTGTCCTTTGCTTTCTAGGGAATGTGTGCTCTGTTAGGTTAGTTTCTTCATCCCCCTCAACACTAGTTTGGTTTGGTGGGCATCTAGATGCAAAGTGAGTAAAAAAGAGAAGAATTGAGGAAGGAAGAGAAGTGCGGAATAAGGAAGATGAAGAGGTGGAGCTCAAATAGCCCAGTCAAAAAATGGGCAGAAGAGCTAAAAAGAAACTTCTCCAAAGAGAAAATGCAAATGGCCAACAGGCATAAGAAAAAATGTTCAACATCACTTGTAATCAGGGAAATGCAAATCAAAACTACAATGAGATACCACCTTACACCAGTGAGAATGGCACATATCAAAAAACTAGCAACAACAAATATTGGTGAGGATGTGGAGAAAAAGGAACTCTCCTGCACTGCTGGTGGGAATGCAAACTGGTCCAACCACTACGGAAAGCTGTGTGAGATTTCTCAATCTGCCAAAGATGGAGCTTCCATATGATCCAGCAATTCCACTCCTAGGTATCTACCCACAGGACACAGAAACATTAATTCAAAAGGGCACCTGCACCTCTATATTTATAGCAGCACTATTTACAATAGATAAGCTATACAAAACCCCCCAAAACCCAAAAATAGATGACTGGATCAAGAAGATGTGGTACATATACATAATGGAATATTACTCAGCAATCAAAAAGATAAACTCATGCACTTTGCAGCAACACGGATGGAGCTGGAAGGGATCATGCTCAGCGAAATAAGCCAGAAAGAAAAAGAAAAATACTGGATGGTCTCACTCATAGCAGGAATTTAGAAGAGCTAAATAAGGGATCAGGGATAAGACTATAATAAAATAAAAATCAAAATCAACAAGCAACTATAAAGCAGAGACACACTATGGGGGTGGGGGAGGAGGAAGTAGGATCAAAACAAGGGGGTGGAAATTGTATGGGGACTATAACCAAGATGAAAATGCATACATTATACAAAAATGAAAAATGATGTGAAAAATATATAAAATAAAATAAAAAAAAAAGAAAAAAAGGGCCTCCCTGGTAGTGCAAGGGGTTAAGACGCAACCTATGAAGCCATCCACAGCCACTGTAGCATGAGTTCGATCCCCGGCCAGGGAGCAATCCCCGGCCAGGGAGCAACCCACATGGCGCAGCAACCCACATGTCTCGCCCGCTGCTCCCCTCAGCAGTGTACTTTGGTCAGTCTGCCTGTTCTGCTCCCCACTCTTCTCTGGTGAACCCTCTCACCCCCCACACCTCTGGCCTCTACTCCAGCTCTTGTATGCGTAAATAAAGAAATCTTAAAAAAAAAAAAAAGAAAAAAGAGGTAGAGATGGAGGTTGGGGTAGGGGTGGAGGAAGAGGATGAACAGGGGGAGAGGTAAAGGGGAGGGGAGAGGGGTTGAGAGGAGAAGGAGGAGTTGTTGTAGTACCAGGAAAGAAAGTATCAGGCAGGACATATTTTACTGCAGTCAAAATCTTAGAATCTTCATGGCTGAAAACCAAAGGGTACCTGGATTTCATGTCCTCTTTTGACCTGAGAAGTACAAATAAAGAAGTCAAGTGTGTTTTTCTTAGTTGCTAGATTATGTTGATTTGGTAATTGCACCTTCTGATCTGGACCACCTAGATCCCAGCTTCACTGGGTTTTAAGAGTTTTATAACATTATGTTTAATGGTTACAGTACCCATTCTGTGGATATAGTATAATATAACTAGTCTCAGTAGAAGTGTGTCAACATAGTTTAATAGAATACAGTAGAGTTGGATCTTCTGGGGTTTAACTCTAGTCAGTGTGTGGTCTAAATTATTGATGAGGATCCCTTAGTTAGGTATTATCATAGAGATTTGTCTCAACAAGCCCAAAACAGCCAATGTACCCTGATTTTAGGCACACGTTATTATTTCTTTTTGTTCAGAAGCAGACAAGTGAATTGCCTTGCATTTTTACATTGAATAAAAACATTAAAAAAAACCCTGGAAGCTTACATTAAAGATGCCTCAGGAACCTAGTTGAACTAAGGCGAGAGCGCACTGAAGTCTTTTGCATCGTGCTCTCTCAGGCACTTAGTTCTACTGAGAAGAGTTGCTTACGGTTTTCTTCGGTTATAGATGTAAGCAACACCAGCTTCTAATGGCATAGATAGATGGAAGGGTAGATATGTGGATATGTGATAAAGCAAATATAGTACAATGTTCATTATAGAACGTTTGGTATATATATGTGTTCACTATATAATTCTTTCATATGTTTTATAAGTTTGAAAATGTTTGTAATAAATTGTCGGAAAGCTAACATTGTAGAACTACTAAAACATGTTATATAAAACATGTTATTATGGAGACTATGCCATCACATGGTAATGTATTTAAGAGTATGGTTGATTGCAATATTCACCTCAATTATTTCTTCTTCTGTTATCGTATTACACTCTATCTTAGCTTCATGGTGGGTGGAACATCGTTCTTCCATTATTCTTGACTTTGGGCTTGGATGCTTGATTTGTTTGGCCCAAGGAGGCATGAATATTAGTGGAGGTGAGGCAAATAGCATCACAAGACCTGAAATGGACTTGCCCAATAGGACTTGCCTTCTTGTGATTTTTTTCCACTGTCATAAGAACACATCCTGGGGAGCTGCCCTGCCTTCTGCCAAGCTCTAGATGAGCCACAAGGAGTGTATCTGAACATGAAGTGCATCTTGGAGCCAAGCCAAGCTGAGCTCAGGCAAAATCAGCTGGACTCCAACCTATCTGCCCATTCCAGACTGAGAAAAGATTTTTCGAGGTTGTTACATAGCAAAAGCTGACTGTAACAAATGGGAAAGCTGAAGAGAAACATTTCATTGATATAGCAATTACTTTCTAAAAGTCATAAAAGTCGATGTATATTATAATTAATAACACCTTAAAGTAGAGGAAATAAAGGTAGTGTTCATAACTCTGCACAAGCTCATATGAAAATTTAGAGAATGTGGATTTAAATGTTCCTTAAACTACAATCCTCCATAATTTTCTTAATTTAAAAACCATAAAGAAAGGAGTCAGTGTTTACCTGCTGGTTGAGGAGACAGTAGACCAGGAAGATGAAGACACCCTGCAGACTGTTGATGATGGTGAACAGGTAGGCCATAACCTGTTCAGCTGAACCCACCTGCAGCATTCCCAGGAACCACGTGCATCCCAGAATGAAGAGCTGAGCTGTGGCTTTGAATGTCAGCATCCTGCAGGGAGTCATGATGTCAAGAAGATGATAATGGGCCAGGAGAGTCGCTGTCAATGGTGAGAGTTTTGGAACAAATATACCTGGGTTTCAATCCAACCCAGCACTAAGTAACTGTGTGACCATGGGCAAGTCACTTTACTTTTCTGTAGCTTGGTTCCCTCTTCTTTAAAATTGTCCTATTTCATAAAGTTACTACAAACATTCTGTGAGACTTTAGCATATATATTTAGGACCATATGTAAGGGAATATTACTACCACATTTAGGTAGAGCATTCTAAAACTTGCGGTTATTTATCTCTCTAGGATTTAGATGTGGGGATCATTTAAATTGTTATTCAAATAAAGATATAAAAAAGGGGGTTATATTAATATTTACCTTGGGTCTACAGGCATAAACCGGGACATTCCCAGGTTAGCTAAGGTCACCCAATTTATATACCTATATTCCCTATTTTAAAACATATTAAATAAGTAAGAAAAGCTAGCTGAGAAACAATTTATGTAGTGTGATGCTATTGTATGTGTGCCCATCTGTTAAATAGATAATGCACAAAAAATGTCTGGGGAAAATATCATATATATCATCCCATGCAGTTTGGTTAACTTGGCTTTCCTGAGAAGTGGAAGTAACAGGGAAAAGGGCAATGAGCCACTCACACTTATGACTTTATGTATTTTGAAAATTTTTGAAAAAGTTTAATAAATGTGTTACTTTTGTGATTAAAATTCAACAGCAAATTATTTAAATGGATGCTGCAAAAAAATCATAATCCCCAATTTTTGACTATTAAAAAAATTAAAAAGCCCAATTTTATACCATGGTAAAATGAGATGTGTGGAAGCAGTTGATTTCTCTGGTAGACACTGCTTATACTTGTTCCAAGGTTTCTAACATGATGATAATATTTCCTCCTATAACCACCATTCCAATGTTCTGCTGCCCACTAGTTGCCATCACCTTACTTTCATTTGTCATGAGATTTATGAAGTGATAAAATATCTGCAGTACTCCTTGAACATGTCTTTCATCATTTCATTCCAATGATAACTTTTTGTCCATAGATTTTTTTCAAATTGGGAGGGTGGGCTTTGCTCAGGGTGTCTACTCAGTGGGCTCAAAGATACCTCCAGAGGCAGTTTGTGCTCTCCCTCACGCTCCTGCCCCCGATTTTTTGGAAATAGTATTATAGTATTATTTTGAACTATATTTTAGTCTAAATCTTTCCAGAACCTATTATATATAACTGGAGATAGAAATTTTGAATGTCTTAATTAGTTAAATTGGTCTCTATTGGTTGGGGATCCTTAAATAGTAGCTCAACTCATAGAGTTTCTGCAGAATTTACACTTTCAGTTAACTGATGGATTAGCAAATCTTGGTTGTTTTTTGACAAAAAGAGCACTCATACATGCATCTTGTGTTGTGTGGAGGAACTGCTCATTCTTCCTATTTGCCTTTTCTTTCTTTTAGTGTTAGAGCCTGTCTCTCTGTTTCAGTTTTATTAAAGACCCAAGGTTTCTCAGTTAGAGACTACACTTTCCAGCTTCCCTTGCAAAGTGGTGTCACCATGTGACCAAAGTCTAACCAATGGGGTATGAACAAATGTGGAGTGTGCAATTTCCATAACACCTCCTTTCCATCAATGGGATTCTGACAAAAACAACAGCCTTGAGGAAGGTGGAGCAATAGGATAAAAAGAAGCTGGCTCACTGTGTGAAGAGCTTCCCCACTATCCCTGGACTGCTCTCCTTTGGAGTGTGACATGAATATGAAATGAACTTTTGTTTTACTCTTTATTTTGTCACAGCATCTTAGCCTGTATTCTAGCTAATACAGCTTCTCATTCATTGTGACAGTGGTCGATGACACTGACTTTGCTGCTTCCTGGAGCCTGTTTGTGGTATACATGTGTGGGTATGTAAGAGGAACCATTAGGAAGAAAAGAGCATTGGAAGCACCTTTTGCCCCATCTTACCTTATATTCTGTATGGTTGACACTTCACTATTGAGGGAAGAAATTTTCTTTTTCAAAATACAAAGGACCAAGAAAAAAAACACAAAATTCACCTGTAGGATGACATAGACCATGCAGAATGCAAGTTAACATGATGCTCTCTGTTCACTGTAAATTGAACAAATCTCCTACCTCTCCGCACATGGTGTGGAGTTGGTAGCAGGTGGAAAATCAAACCATGCAATGAGAAACTGTCTGCTCCTGTGATATCTTTCACCTGACACTTCTGGCCCTTATTCTGGTGAGGACATTAGAACCACATACTCACACAAATAATGGCACAGACAGGGCCGAGGAAACCCCAGATGAATCCCTGGTTCTTTTCAAGCCAGCAGCTGGGAAAAGGGACACAAAGAGAGATCAGAGACAGCCCAAGTGATGCCTTTCCTAACAGAGAAATTTTCCCAGCATTTCCTGAACATGTCAACTGATGACAAAGAGGGTTTTGGGTGTTAACTACCATGTATTAATGTTATATTAAACATTTTTGAGCACCGAAATTATCACATCAGTGTTGTGAGGGTGGGATAGTGGGAACAACTATTATCCTCATTTCACTAACAGGGGGAACTGAGACTTGAGGAATGTGATCCCAAATCATGGAGGAATGAAGCTGAAACCTAACTGTGAAACTACCTTTTTCTAAAAACTTCCATGCTCTTATCACCATTTTTCCCTGACTCAATGGGAAAAGGTCAGAGTTCTTACTCTCAAGGAGAATGTAGAGTGCGGTTGGTGTGGCTACCCCAGTCACCATCATGAACACATCTCAACAAACCATGCAGAGCCCAGGGAGAGTCAACTCACCGATGAGGTGTTCCGTAAAGATGAGGTCTGAGTGCTGCAGAAATGGCCACAATAACAGCCGGGGCCCCATATCCTGCTGGAAACAGGAACCACTTCATGAATTTGTTCATGTTGGAGTAGTTGACCACTTTCAGGTTGCGTGCAGTGAGGAAGAGGTGCAGGCCCTCCAGCAGCATCCAGGTGAAGGAGGCCAGGTAGAGATAGTGTAAGGCACCTGCGATGATGGCACACAAGATCTGGGGAAGAAGGAGGTGTCATCAGGAGGAATTCTCAGGGTAAACTGTATCTCTAGGATCGCTCCTGTATCCTGCCATTGGGGAGAGCTCTGATGCATATGAAGGAGTTATTAAGAGATTTTGGTTACTTCTGTTAATATGAAACTGGGTACTCACTCTCCATCCTCCCCCAGGTCATATTATTAAGGTGGCCAGTGCAGAGGGCTCCATGAATTCAGCATCCCCTGGGGAGGGTGGGGATTCCTTTGGGATACTGTCAGTACCTTGATCTCAGTTTTGTCAATGGCTATGAGGAAAAGCAGGTGGGCCAGGAAGAGGCAAATTGAGAGCTGCAGATGAATTGAGGTGCTGGTATTCTGGATGGCTTTGCACAGCAGAAATGTGAGGGCTGCCAGGAGGAGGCACAGCAGAGAGAGGCCCAGACCCACGTAGGTGATTACAACCAGCACAGGATCCTCCTCCTGAGATCCAGCAAAAAGGAGATCACAGTCACACCTTTCTGCTCGGGATGGTTTCCCTCCCTTGAAACTGGGCATCCCAGATCCAGCCCAGGTTGTCACCCATGCTTCTGCCTGACTGGAGTTTCCAACCCCCTCCCTTCCTTGGGTTTGATTAATTTGCTAGATCAGCTCGCAGAGCTCAGAGAAATATTTTGCTTACCAGACCTCTGGTTTACTATAGAAAGATATACTGATATAGTGTGGCAAGTGTCTGTCAGATGAATTTTTTTCTAACTTTTAAAAAATTTATTAACAAAGTACCATTGTTTGACACTCTTAAAATTTTTTGGTCAGTTTTTAAAAAATTTTATATATTTTTTACATCATTTTTCATTTTTGTACAATGTATGCATTTTCATCTTGGTTGTAGTTCCCATACAATTCCCATCCCCACCCCTTGTTTTGATCCTACTCCCTCTTCCCCCCAACCCCATAGTGTGTCTCTGGTTTATAGTTGCTTGTTGATTTTGATTTTTACTTTACTATAATTAGTCTTTTTCCTGGTCCTTTATTTAGGTTTTCTAAATTCCTACTATGAGTGAGACCATCTGGTATTTTTCTTTTTCTTTTTCTTTCTGGCTTATTTCACTGAGCATGATCCTTTCCAGCTCCATCCATGTTGCTGCAAATAGCATGAGTTTATCTTTTTTAACTGCTGGACATTCTTAAATTGTTAAAATTAATTTATTTTTAAATGTAGTACCTTTTTCTTGCATTCTTGTTACTTTTTTGGCAGTATAGGATGTCTCCCCTCAGGTGTAGTAACTGTAGTACTTCCTCCACAGAGGGACCCATGGTCCTCCACCATAGTCTGTTGTGCTCTTCCCCATCCTCCCACCGTTCTGATATTTTTTTCTTTTTAATTTGGGTTGCCTTAGTTTACAACATTGTGTGAGTTTCAGGTGTACAACTTCACACCTCAACATGTGTGTATTTGCATATACCAAGTCATGTCTGCCACCATCCAATTGTCCCCCCTCCCACCCACCCTCTGATCCCCTTCTCCTTTGGAAGCTACCATTACAGAGGCATACTTAATATACAAAATATTGTAAATACTGAATGTATGCATTTTGATGAGTTTGAACACATGCATTATATCCATGATGCCATCACCACAAAGGTAGTAAACATTTACATCACCTCCAAAATATTTCTTTGTGTTCCCTTGCTTTTCTTTTTTGTGGTAAGGATACTTAACATGCGATCAACCATCTTGACAATATGGTAAACACATCACACCATATTTTAACTACAGGTGTTATCTTGTGTAGCGGATTCAAACTGAAATAGATAGATATGCCAGGCTCCCTTGTACCCATTGAGGTTCAGGAAGCCCACACTCACCTGTGCCCAACCCTCAGTTGCTGTCTGTAGACTTCAGTGACCCTAACTGAGGGTGTTTCTTCTGCCATGTGAACATGCCTGCACATGCCAGAGCAAGTCATAATGCCAGGGCTTTAGTGTCCTTGGAAGCTGCCCTCAAACAAGATAGTTTGGAAATTGGTAAGCACTCCATTTTCCTTACCCTCGTATGGGATGCCTCTGTGGTACATATCCTAGGATGTGTCCCAGAATTGCCCAATGGGACTGAGCCCCAGTTGTCCATGGGGTTAACTTTCTCTTTAATGGATGTTTTACTAGCTGTCTTCCCTTCTTATTCCCCCACAGAGGGAAGTACTACTGATATGTCCTGGGTTCACTTTCCAGAGAAACTGTTTGCCCTCCAATCCTTGTGTTTCAGGATTTGCTTGTGGGGGAACCCCCAAACTAAGATACTATTTCTGCTCTTGGGGACTCATCTCATTAAATTCAGGGACCACAGATTGGGTGAATCGTGCAAAATTAACAAGACACACTAATGTGAAATGATAATCACCGTTCCTCATGTTTCTATGAAGATTTTCACTTATTTCAATGTTACCTTTAGAACATTTTAGTCTTTTATTTTTTAACCTCCAAAAACTGTGAAATATAATGCATATATGGAAAAGAACATAAATGTCAGTGAACATATGAATGAATTAAATAAACTCTCAGATCCTGAGTTAGTTCAGTCTATGAACACTATTTCAGATGCTCTTCCCAATTGCAAACCACCTGTGCTTTTTTTTTTTAAAGATTTATTTATTCATACAAGCACTGGGAGCATCAGAAGCATGGGAGGGTGAGAGAATTCACCAGAGCCAGAGCAGGGAACAGAACAGGCAGACCGACAAAATACACTGCTGAGGGGAGCAGCGGGTGCAGCAGGAGAGGTCTGCGTGCTATGTGGGACCCTCGCCGGTGGCTGGGGATCGAATCGATGCTGCAGAGGCTGCGGGCAGCTTCACAGCCCAGCGCTCAACCACTGCGGCACCAGGGGAGGCCCCACCTGTGCTTTTGAACACAGAGAAACATCTTACTCCATCGCTCATTTATTGTAAAAGGATATAACTCAGGCAGAGCCTGAAGGGAGAGATGCATAGAACAATATGTGGGGAAGTTAAGGAGCTTTGATGGCCTCTCCCTAAATCTGCACATGTCCACCATTGGAAGCTCTCCTAATCCCACCCTTTCTGGTTTTCATTACAAACTCATGATTGATCAGTTATACTCAACCTCAGAGGTCAGACATTGGGACTGAAAGTTCCAACCCGTAATGACAGGGTTGGTTCCTCTAGCAACCAGTCCCCATCTTTAGATGTGTTCAAAAGTTGCCTCATTAATATAGTAAGGGCCTCCCTGGTGGCGCAGGTGGTTGAGCGCCACACTGTGAAGCAGTCCACAGCCTCTGCAGTGCGGGTTCGATCCCGGCCAGCTGGCGAGAATCCCACATGGCACAGCAGACTTCTCCTGTCTTGCCTGCTGCTCCCCTCAGCAGTGTATTTCCTCAAGCTGCCTGTTCTGTTCCCCACTCTGTCTCTGGTAAATCCTCGCACCCTCCTGTGAATCTGTCCTGTACCCCGGTTCTTCTATAAATAAATAAATCTTTAAAAAAGTTAATATAGTAAAAGACAGCTTTCTTTCTCATCACTTAGGAAATTCCAAGGGTTTTAGGAGCTCTGTGTCCCTAAACTGGGACAAAGCCCAGATAAACATATAATATATAAACATACACATAGGCCTATATATTTATCATAAATCACAATATCACAGAGATTGAAATCCAAATAATATCAAATCAACCAATTTACATTGTACAATTCAGCAGCATTTAATATATTCACAGAGTTGTACAATCACAGCACATTGTGATATACTTTCAAAACATTTTTATTACCTCCCAATAAAACTCCATGCCTACTAAGCAGTCAGTCCCCATCCTCCTTCCCAACCCCTGACAACCACCAATTTAATTTATCAGAATGCAATTTTTTTTAGGCTCACTCATGTTCCTGATTCTTAATAGTCATATTTTAGTATTTAATTCTTATAGAGGCCTTCTCTGACCACTCTGTCTAGAGATTGCATATGTCTGTGATCTTTGGAGCCTCTATCACCACTTATAGGTTAATGAGGGACTAGGAGGGGGAGTTAAATGTTTCAATGGTACCTGGTTGGTGATGGCCATGAGGACAGCGAAACTGGACAGGTGGGTCGAACTGCACACAGTGTGGCTTTCATTCCTTTGTAGCTGGGAGCAGCCATGCCTGGACCAGTGGCCGCCCGCATTTGTGCTATCCCAGTAGACACAGAAGACCTCTTTGATACTAAGATTCATCTGAAAACAGAACACACTTTTTTGAGCGGGATTCTCAGAGTGTCAGTCTATACTGTAGGTGATGAATGAGGAGATGCTTGTGCTAGAATACTCAGGTGATTTGTATTTAAAAAAATATTTATTTATTTATGCATACAAGAACTGGGGTACAGGCGAGAGGTGCAGGGGCGGTGAGAGGATTCACCAGAGACAGAGCAGGGAACAGAACTGGCAGACTGACTGAGAGCAGCAGGTGAGACAGGAGAGGTCTGCCGTACTATGTGGGTAGCTCCCTGGCCAGTCGGGGATTGAACTCGTGCTGCAGAGGCTGTGGATAGCTCCACAGAGCTGTGCTTAAGCCCTTGCACCACCAGGGAGGCCCTGATTTATTATCTCTATATCTTCTGTCTTATTAACATTTTATTTCAACTCTCTGCTGCTTCCAACCTAGTATAATGCCTGCCACATGATATAGCATTCAGCAAATATTTGTGGTTTTTTTTGCTTTATTTTATTATTATTTTTTAGTTTTTTACATCATTGTTCATTTTTAAACATTTGCTTCCCCCGACCCCCTCAGGTGTAGTTCCCATAGAGTTTCCTTAACCAATGCACCCGTGCACCATCACCACAGTCCCCGTCCCCTGTGCTCCTCCCTCTCCTTTTGATTTATTTTGACTGAAGAGGAGGCCACCAGCAAATCTACCTCCAAAGTTCTAGCTCCATTGGTATTTCACATCTCCTAAAAAAGGGGCCACCTTTTTCTCCAGGAGCCAGAATTTTACCAGATTTTATTAGTTTCAAGGCCTTGACTCCCATTATGGGAATAATAAAAAAAGAGTGTAGTTTCTCCCTGTGTCAAATTTAGCTGGTCCCTTCATACCAATTTTGTCCCTGACCTTTCATAACACAATGATTGCTTCTGCTGTGACAGGGGAAATGCAAGAGAGAAACATCACTAGGAGAGAAAAAAGAATGAAATAGCCTTCAATTACTTCTGTCTGTCCCAAGGGCTCCTAGGGCGTCAATTCACGGGGCCAAGGCCATGAGTAGGATGCGTTCTTGCTTGGGTGCTGTGTCTCTCCCAAGAAATCTGAACCAGCCTTAGATTTCTGCTCCATTCCTACAGCTCCATACCAAATATCAAAAATTCCATCCCTAGATTTTATGTACCAGTTAGAGAAAGACTGCATTTCCCCACCTTTCCCCACTCTTTTTCTTTAAAACAACTTTTTTATTTTTTAATTAAATGCATTTTCCAGCATTATTAAAATGGTTAATAAAAACACTGTGTGCTGATGTGATGTATATATGTGTGTGTGTATCAAAATAACCACCACAGTAATATTAATTAACATTTATAATCTCATATTATTCCAATTTTTATTTTGTGGTGACAATGTAAAATCTACTCTTTTAGCAACTGTCAAATATGGAATATAGCAGGTCCTATAATAAAGTAGTTTCATTCAACTTTGTTTTGTTATA